TCATCATCGCCGCGGTTTAACCGGGAGTTCTCAGGTTCAGCGCTCGTCTGAAACGTTTTTCCCCAGCCTGCTGTTGTACAGCTCAAATGATTAAACCTCCGCACAAAAGGAAAGGGTCACACACATGGACCCGTGCGCACACCGAGACACAAAGAAAGCATACGGCGCTCTCTCTCTCTCTCTCTCGCCCTCGTAACATCTGCACATCAGGCAACAAGAGAACATCTGTACTTCTGCCTGCAGCGTGGACCGAAGCCTGAAACCAGAGGGAGCCAGAGACTTATTGACCTCTCCAAACCTTCTAAATGGGGGGGGGGGAAATTGAATGAGAGTTTTTAATATCCATGATAGTGTGCATATATGTATGCATGTACGATATACTGTATATAAATATTCAGATGTCCCCTCGACTACTTCGTGCTCTATCGCTCTATCGGCTTTCCATTGATTTACCGCTCACACCTTTGGAGGGGGAACTGTTGAAATTCATCTTTCCAGTAAAGGAGCGATTGCACAGTGTATGAATGCATAGGTTTATTTCTATGTGAGAGCTGTGTGTGTGTGTGTGTGTGTCTGTGTGCGTGGGCGCCCGTTGATGCGAGTACACGAGCCCCTACTTATTCCTGCTTCTACAGCCACTCAGCTCCCTCTTGAATGATCCTTCCTCTGCACTAAATAAAACATTTTTTTCCATTTGTTAAAGCGATAACCCAGAGCTAGCGTCCATATCCGCACACCCGGACCGCCGCTTGTCTTTGAGATGGGACCGGGACGCGGCGGCGGCGGCGTTGTAAGGAAGCAAATTACCACAGTGATTAAACACAGTACCTGTCCCGAGCCGAGTGCCGTCCTAGTTCCATTACACCAAACTCCGTATATTAGAACTGTAATTAAAATTGCAAACAGGCCATGCTGTAATCATTATTTATGACACTGACGCTATGTGTAATTGGCAAACCCCTCGAACCAATATGTGAGGCCCGGTGAAGTGTTTATCAAACGCGACAGCGGAAATCTCAAGGGCGGCGAGATGGCGCGCCGTTCGCCGAGCTGGGCCTCCGCCCTCAGAGGATCTAAACCGGTGACCTCTCGGCACGCCGGAGCCAGATAGCCGCTTACACTGTGAGGTGCAGAGTTGAGCTTAAGCCCGGAAGGTCGCGGGGTCACCGGCTGGGGTTATTCATCTCTGTCTAGCCTGTAATTGGAAACGCTGCGAAATCCACAAAGTGAGGGCACGGTAATGAATAAAATTCAACCCCCCCCCCCGGTTTGCTTCGTGTTGCCACCCGTTAAATGAGGCGGTTTGAGCTGCTCCCTTTAGGGTGGAGGGACACACTCTACGGAGTAGAAGAGTTTCCCAGAACACTTGATATAATGTAGTATTTTATTTGTTCTTATGGGGATCGTTAACACTTTGAAATCCAATGAATCTACATGAATGTCTGCAATGCATCGGAAGAGCTCCATGGTGCTACAGACGTTTCACTCCTTTGTTAGTCAGCGTGCTAATTTAAGTCAGATCAAGACACATTCTTCCACTGAATCTGGCTTTGTAAGCTCTTCTCAAGAACTACATTTTCCATCCGAAATACATCCATAATAAACCAAACTTTAAACATGTCTCACAACTCCGTTTCAGCCCACCACTACTTTATCCTAAACTGCCGCCTTTGTCCATTTGACAACCTGTTTGGGTTTTTGATTTATCAATTCCTAACCACGTCTATCACCCTGTCTATCGCCCGAGGTTGGCTGGGATGGACTCCAGCCCCCCCGCGACCCTGTGTGCAGGATAAGCGGTTTGACGATGGATGGACCATTATTTCAAATTACATTTCAATTCAGCACCAATTTGTTTTTACGTCACAGCAGCAGCCGGTCAAAACGCAGCCAAGACTTTCTCAAAAGGTTCCGATCTTGGATCCACGACGTAATAGAAGTAATAGATTCAGCACCACAGGCCACCACACAGCAGCAAGACGAATAGAAACGAGTGAAAACCCGAAAGGAAAATCCTTCCGACCGCAGAGCAAACCCACTCGAGGCTGGTTAAACCTCCAGCTCTGGTCCCCCCCACCCCCCACCCCCCCGCCTGGCTCTCGAGACCAAACCCAGCCCCTCTCGCTCCAACACTTGCAGGGATATGAAACCCGCCAAAATGGGGCCGAGCGTTTCTAAGCCCAATACGCGGAAAAACAGCAGCACACAGAAACCATGGATTTCAAAGAGAGGGAGAAAGAGCAGATTCCCCCTCCAGAATAGGAGCGCGAGGCATCTGTTGATGCTGGCATCCCTATTCTCTTCATCCCCAAGCCAAGCCTGGGGATCCAGTTGAGTGTGCGTGTGTGTGTGTGTGTGTGTGTGTGTGTGTGTGTGTGTGTGTGTGTGTGAGGCAGTGTGTGTGTGAGAGGGGGCAGGGACGTCGGAGGGTGGCTACATGCTAAAATGTCCAATGTGCATTGACCCCACTTGGCCCCCCATATGTTGCTGAAACAAAAAGGATGGCGAGGGAACAACGCGACCCCACCTGTCTTCACCCCCCCGTGTTCTTGCCCCCGAGCACTTGCTGCAACCAGAACCTCCATCGCGGTGGTGCACGTTGGTGGGAAGAGCCATCTGCACAGCGTTTCAACATTAGTGAGCAACATGTACGCCGCACGCCACAGTGTGAGGGGCCGTGATTCACTGCAATAATTGCATCACTTGATATCTGTACGGCAGAAATATACACTTCTATTGCAGAATATTTGATAAACAACCTTAAACGTCCTCTGCTGTGACTTATCTGGCCCACAAAGGTAGAAGCAATTTCTCTTGTCATCTTCACTTTTCCCTGAATCAATGACGGCATTATTCTCATTATCACATCTTGCAGGTTTCTGTCACAACAGAAATCCTTTGGAGGGTAAATTGTTTGATTTTGTGTGGAGGTGTGTGAGGATGCACTCACAGACTAAATGTTTCATGAGGCCTGGTGTCGTAGATTAAACAGGTTTTGGTTCATGCAGACAGCTCGTGTGCCAGAAATACGGTGATGGTTTAATCGTACGTACGAGGGGGGGGGTTGGACATTCAACCTTTCCAGCCTAAAAAGGTGGAATGCCATTGGTTTGCACATCCACACCCCAAAGCCAGTACCAAACCTTTGAAAAGCCTAATTGTGTTTTGTAGAAAAAGGTAAAAGAAAATGACATTTTTCCACCCGGCTTGCTTGCCGTGGGCCCAGGTCACAAACACGCGCACATGGCAAATATATTGCTGCTCTCTGCTAATTAATGTGTGTCGTGCACTTTGTGAGGCTGCTAGATGAGCGGTAATCTCTGTCGAGGAGAAACATCTTCCGGCTAATGAAATACTGTCGCCTTTCGAGGGGATGCGTCTCATTCCTCGTTAACCAGGAAATAATAACTCGCGCGCAATCCGCTAAACAACGGCGGTAAGAACTCGAGCGACCACGGCACGGCCTTCCTCCTGGAGGCAACATGCAAGGTGTTATTTCGCAGTTGTAGCATTTATCGAGTGGCGGACGGCGCCCTTTCAACAGCCACGTCCTTTCTACTTTGTAATGCACGGTTTGTACTTTCAAAAGATGGGAACCTGTTGTGGGCCGACAGCAGCTCGAGGCCGAATGCTCGAAGCCTCTCTCCTCGGGGTCTGATCGGATCGGATCAGCCTCACACGTGCTGCAATGTGCACAATTCCCGTCATATCCAATCATTCTCCACTGCGGCTTGCATGATGGTGACTACTTCAGGAAAGGAAACCCACAGGTTACATCATCGAAGGAGAACGGGGTCTGAACCCCCCTCGTGTCGATGGGCTGTGCACGTCCTGCAGGGCCGCCCGTCTGTCTGGGGCGTCGGGGTGGGGGGGTGGCTCACTGTGGCAAGCCCACCGTGACCAGCTGGGCTTCTCCTGCCCACAGTGGACACGGGGGATTGAGGAGGGGTGGGGCGCGCCCGGGCCAAGAGGCTGCGGCCCGTCTGCATTTGTGCGTTGTTAACCCCACATCTTATTGCACTGACACATCAGTTATTGTTATCAAGGGCCAGAGTGATTTATTTATATGATGATTTCTCACAGGATGAAGGCAGGACTAATTGAGCCAGGTGTGTATATGTGTGTGTGTGTGTGTGTTCATGCTCTGGGAAATTAGTGAGAATGCTATCAAAACTAATGCATGCTGGGACATCCCATAACATGGTGAGCATATTGGGGTGAGTGAGAAGTGCAGGTCAGCATTCCCTTTGGGGAAACTACAAAATAAAAGCACTGTATTTGTAATTCGGGGGTTTCTGTCATCTGACAGTTGGCGCGAGTGGACAAATGAAGTGTGTTTGTCTTTAATTGTTGATGTTTTGAGGGGGGAAGAGGATTTCATTTAAGCTCCACTACCGACTGCGTGTTTTGCTCACTGCTCGTCTCTCTGCCCGCGTCTCTCTCGACCTTGGTTTTGAAGAGAGATGGAGAGAGAAAGAGAGAGAGAGAACAAAACACCGTCTTTCTCTCCGGAGTCTCTCTGCATTGCCTCTTACCCGTACTTCAACCCCACCAACAAGCCCCCCATCCACCCCTCCCTCGTTGCGCCACTGGCGCACGTCGTGTGCGTGGGGCACCAGGCCACGCAAGTCACGTAAAGGAATGTTCACACAAGCCCGGGGATGCAAGTCTTTCTTCTTCTTCTTCTTCTTCTTTTAAATATGTATTACACGTCTCATTGAAATGCGCTCAACATGCATCACACCGAACCACACGAGGTTGGCTTGGAGATGAACCTGGCGCTGCGCTCGCACGCACGCAGGGACGCAGGGACGTGCACGCACGCACGCCCGCGTGCAGCAACGCAGTGGCACGGCAGACACGCGTGACTCGCAGGCAGGTAGGTCATTAGTATTCACCTCCACGGCCCGCTTCCACAAAATGAAAGGCGAACGTGCACGCGTCGTGGCGCAGCAGCAGCAGCAGCGCGCGGGGCTGGAGTGCGGCTCGGGAGAACTTACCTTGAGACAGCAGAACCAGGAGGACACCGGCGAACGCGTTCCGCAGCAGGGGGCAGCCCATGATGGAGTTCCGACGGGTTCTCCGCTTGTTTTCTGCAGCCGGATGGGTGCCTCGGTATTCCCCCTTTCTGCGGTGCTTTGCGGGGAAATATGGTTCCTTTTAATACAAATAAATAAATAAGGAAGAACCCAGCCCGAACCAGTGGATGAATGTCAACGGCAATAGTCCGACGCTTCTACGTGGAACAGGACGGAGGCATCAGTTGTATCCACTGGACTTTTCCTTCTGATGGCCGGAGAGAGAAAGAGAGAGAGGGGGGGGGGGGAGAAAGGAGAGAGAGAGGGGGAGAGAGAGAGAGATGGATGTTCGTCTTCTCCCGAGCGGAAAAAAAAATCACAGCAGAAAAAAGAAAAAAAAAAACAATGTCCCCCAATACTTAGTTCGGCTCTCAGCGGCTTGGAGGAAAAATATTTCTGAAAACGCATGGGAAGAATTTTGAACAATATTGTTAATAAACTGCCCAATGACGCGACAATATATATTTTTTTTGTAATAATCTTGTTTGTCAGAGAACGAGAAACGTCTGCGCGCGTCCCGGCCGCTCGTCGCTGGAGAGCTTAATTAGCTCCCGCGTGTGTCCGTCGGTATGCTGCGCGTCGCGGGGAGCAGCAGAGAGCGCGCGGCAGCACGGAGAAGCGGCTTGATTGACGCTTCAAGGTAGAGACCCGCTTCTCACCAATCACCGGCCCCGAGGAAGGGGGCGGGATTTACGATCGCTCCGACGTCCCGCTCGGAGAGGCCGGCTCGAGGAGGCTGACCGGCCAATCGGAGCTGCGCGGTTGAGGGAGGAGGAGGGGGAGGAGGAGGGGGAGGAGGATGCACAGCGCGGTGATAATGCAATGTGATTTATAGCCAGTTCGGGGTTGCTGCAGTACTCCGAGAAAACATTCCACTGGGGGGAACAGGAGGGAATAATAACTAAAGGGTGAGTGAGGGGCAGGTGTGGAGCCGCGTGGGCTTTTTGGAGACGATAGATGGCAACAGAACGAGGTGCAACGACAGGATGTGCTGCAGATAAGCAGATGCTACTCAATTTGCTGGAAACGAATTCTGTCAGACCAGAGGAGAAGTTACACCAGAGTGTGCAGAGCAGATCGTGACAGCACTGATGGAAGCCCCCCCCCCTCCAGCCCCCACACATCTGAGTTCATCACAGTGCCGACGTGGACCCATGCAGGGAGACGCTTTATAAAATGCAGAAGCACCAATGGGCCATTTATAAACATGTTAGCCGTTACGCTGCATCGGGCATGAAAAACCATCACGTCAGCAAACCTCCTCGGTCAGAAGCTCACGATACGCCCACCGGGTCCACTCGCTGCAATGTTTACTGTAGGTCTGAGATTATTCTCTCCAGCTCTTGTGACAACTTTTATGTTTAGTCCTGAAATATTCAATTCAAGCTTTGCCATTGCTGTGATCATAAGTAACAAACGGTATGCTGATTAATGGTGTTCAGACAGAAGTGATAAACTGGGCGCATACCTTAGGATGAGAGATGAGAAAATGACTGATTAATGCATCATCTAATCAAGGCCCAGCATTATTTACAGTGTGTGATTTGTTTGTAAATAATTGTTATTATTCACAATTAATTAGATTTGTCACAGAAGAATGAATCCGGAGCTAATCACTGGCTCATTTATTTGTTTAACGTCATTTCACATTTTCGTGTAACGGAAAAGATTGATGGGTACAGTAGGAGACACAGGGAGAGGGAGATTTGAGATCTGACCCTTTGCTATATGCTTTTTTTTCCAAACAAGAGCTACATTTGGCAGAGCTTCATTAATGTTATTCATGTTTGCCATCAGCTGGTTTGCTGTCAAGACACGGTTATTATTTATAGACCTGACACACTTTGCAGTTTCTTCCACACGGTTGTTGCAAGCTATTCTGTAAAAGCAGAAACACCTGCGAAAGTGTTGACACAGATTTGCATTTGAAGTTTTTACGGAGCCAATTACCCCTCGGACCTCCCGGCGCTCCCACCACACTCCATGACATCCTGAGTGCGGCCTCGGAAGAGGACGGGAGAATATTTGTCCATTCTGAGAGGACTGCCTCGAGGAAAATCAAATCAAACGCAGAATGTGGACACACATCAGGTCTCCTTGAATGTTACGACCCGTTCCCACTCAGCGCCCCCTCAAGTCTCTCCGGCGCAAAGCCATCTGCGTCATCATTAGACGTTATAAATTCTACGTAAGGAGCGGAGGAGGACCGGTCGGGCCAAACCCAGGAGACCGCTGATCGTGTCTCATCTGATACCAAGTCAAAATTAAGCCACCTTAGTTTTGTTATGTCACTTGTATGTAAATACCAGTTATCTGACCGATGAACCATGAATCCAACCACGTCTTCACCTCAGCCTCTTACAGGAACTCTGATCGAGCTGCGGGATGTTATAGAGGTCGGACGTGATTCTCCTAAAATCTCAAATACTCCTCAATCATAATATCAGACACTTTCAGCCTGAGGAGCACAGACCTGTGAGCCAATGGACACAGTCCTTAAGGCACGTGAGGAGACTTCCTTTGCTTCCATGAAGATACAGAAAAAAAAAACTTTTTTGCGTTGTTTTTATCTGTTTTGTCCAAGACGTGAAGGTGAGTGTTGCTAAAACCTTCCTAAAAAAACTATAAAGCATCCAGAAGCGTTCAGAGAGGCATGCTGAGAGAGGTTTGTTGGGCAAATTAATTAATCGTTATCTTGAGGCTTTTATAAATATTTATGGAGAATTTAGTTTAACACTATATAGCAGAATAAAACAAATGGTTACTGGAGGTCAGGGGAAGGAAAAAAGCTTGTGTAGCCTTAATTAACTTTAAACTCCAATGGGCCAAGCTCAATCCACAGAAAAGATTCATGAAGGAAGTTGAATTAAGTATTCATTGGTTATAATTTCTTTCTCTCTAAACGTGACCAAATTTGACCAGAAATATACCCCAAAGTTTTCCCAATGTTGTGCCAAAGATGCTTTGTGTGGAATCCTTTTCCAAAATTCCTGTGGCTAGTTACTAAACTAAAATAAATATGTATTTTACCATTGGAGCTGTGGAATTGGATATGAGCAAGTTATTATCTCTTCATATCTTCTGGCTGCTCAGTTTAGGGTAATCTTGGCTGTTAAGTTGGCTGTGATGTTCTCCAATGTTCATTGATTTATTATATTCAATTATATTTGGGATCTAAAAGAATTATTGTCTCAGATCTCATCCCTCAAGGCAATGCTGCAAAGAGGAACATGAACAATTGTATTAATCCTGCATCCATGTGCAGGATTAACATGAGCATCCAGCTGGACTTGAGAGCTCCAAGAGACTTGGAAGACCCTCAGAGACTCACTGAGACTCATAACGAATCACAGCTTCCAGCTTCCGGCAGGAGTAAGACACTGCTATAGAAGTAAACAATTCAATGATGAGGATGGTGATTTAACAGACAGCGTATGTTTAAGGTTAAACGTGTCTTTGCTTCTTCAGTTGTTACTAAAGGGAGAGAGTGCTGAGGGTACCTCTTTAAACATGAGGCAGCACAATGATCTTCTTTAGTCTGGCAAAACTAAAATGGTGCAGTAGTACGAGTGGACGTTCGGCTTCTCCCAGGCCCTCCTCCTCACGGAGAAGTGCTTTTCTGGAGAGGAAGACCTCATCTTCTTTGACTAATTAGAGAAGTCATCTCGGCCCTCTGACCTTTTGTCAATCTTCTGTTTTCACCGGCAGTCTTTAATTTATTTTTGAGGGGAATGTTCTCATAGCGGCGGCGGGAGGTTGTGATAACTGCGTTTCGACTTAATAATCCCGTCCTAATAATCTATCCTGCAAAAACGCTACACTCATGATCTGCATTTCTCATCTCCTCGGTGACTGACTGTTTTCATGGAGGCCGCCTGGTACTGAGATAAGAAGCTGTCATGGTGCAGTTATAGCATCGTTGAATCATTCTTTAATTCCCTGGGCTTCTTTGGGCACGAGGGGAAGTCTCGGAGCTGTGGTAATCGGGGTCGCTTGATGCCTGATGGGGTCACGATGCAGAGTGTGATTGACTGTCCACGAAGCCACTGAGTGCATCATAACTTATCGGGGGGGGGGTCGTTTGAGGTACAGCAACTTAGCCACACTTTGCCGCGAGCTATTTAGTAATCCTGCAAGATACATTGTGCCGTACTGTGAGCAGATGTTTGTCTTTACGAGATCATAATCGGGACTCTGAGGTCTTCGCACAAGCTTTCCGTCTGCGAAATCATCCATTGGAAAATATCCCTTTTGGTTTCTAAAGCACCTAGTGGTTTATTTCTGATCTCGATTATGAGCTGCTCTCTGTCCCCAGAGTCCAAACTAAATGAGGAGAAGCGGCGTTCAGGTTCTGCACAGCGTGGAACTACAGCAAACATGTCGGCTGCATCTCTCACTGCTTTGAAGCACTTTGTCTACTGAAAAAATGTCTATTTTAAACATGTTTTCTTCTATTTTTGTTGTTTTTATTACTCCACAATAATCGGCTGAGTGTTTCTTCTGTCCCTTGCCTCGATGCTTTAAATAAAGAACTTTCTATCGCCTTGTTGCCAAAATATGCTATTTAAGTAAACTCTGGCAGCTTATTCACATATCACCCAAAGTCAGAGTCACTGAAACGCCCGGAGCTGAGATGACATGTCATTTCACACCCAATTAATATAGAAAAGAGCAGACTGGTGCTCTGATGTCAGCTGTTGGCATTTTGACGGTAAGGACAAACACGGAAGGACACTGGAATCGTGTTTCAGGAGCGCCGCAGTTTATGCAAACACGTCGGACTTGGAATGCGTCTGCGAGGGGAAACATGCCCCTGAAGTGTCTGCGGTTGGGACGAGACGCCCCCCGCCAGCCTGTTTGGTATGCTAATGTATGGAGATGCGGGCGGGGGCACTCCCCCTCTCCCCCCCCCCTGCTCCGTCGTCACGCCCCACTCATTAATTGGCATGGAAGTGACTGGGTTGTAATCATTGTCCCCCAGAGAACCTCAGTGAGGAGGAGATTGGGACGGAGCGAAAGCGAACCAGAGCCTTTGGTCTCTAAGGGCTCGTCCTCTGAGCTAAGTTATCCCTCCAGATGCGAGGAAGACCGGGAGGAAAATATCAGGAGGTGAGAGAAAGGGAGAGGCTGGAGAGGAAATTGTGATATAAGCTCCATGTGCTCCCAGAGAAATGGAGGAGTGCGGACGGAGGGGAGGATTGGATTGGAGATTCATGTAGGGGATTACGGATGGAGATTGATAGCTGGATCAGTGGGCCAAGGGGCAGGGAGATGGAGCTCAGGATGTTTGAGTGACACGAAGCTGATGAGAAGGAGAAATAAGGGAGTAGTGGGTCAGGGGAAGATGACAGAGGTCGATTGACATTAAAGCTCGACCTGTTGTACTTAAATTGGTTCATATCCACCGTGAGCGTTCTAAACTGACTGAAAAAAAAGCAATTGAGGAAAATTGATTTATCGACCGTGACATATTAATTTGCCTCATTTCCACTGCTGATTCAACCCTTGCTGTTGTTATTCTTGCATCCACTTTAGGCAAACACTTGTTTTTCACCCCGTAAATGCTGCCGTTGCAACTCGCAGGCTTGTAAAAGTACCTTCAAA